GTCACAGAACTGAGGCGAGCGGTGAGAGAGAGGCACCGGCTGTCAGATCCAGACCGAGCGCCTCTCCCTCTCTCCTCACCGCTCGGCATTAGTTCTGTGACAGCGGCTCCGTCCTCCGCCCTCCCCCGCCACCGGTTCCTTCACTTCTTCCGGATCCGAGGTGCATAAAGAAGGCGGAGAGCAGCGGGGATCCAGAGAAGACCCACATCGCGATCGACCTGATGGGCACCCCTGCTGTAGGTGTTACTGAACAGCAGCAGAGAAAAGCATGTCTCCTTCCCTGCCAGACAGACCTGTGTAAACCTCAGGACTGGACAGATAGACATACAAAACTTCTGGTAGGTATACGTATTTAGCGGTTTGCCCAGAGTTCAGCTTTAATATGGATAGACTGAGGACTTTTCCCAGCCTCCCCCATGGCATGTAGTTCACAGATGACCTATAACACCCGAGTAAAGATTTAGAACAGTCTGTCTGCTATTCCCGGGACTCACTTTAGTGTCTCAGCGAGGAAGAAGCTCTGCTGGACATCATCGTAGGCTGGTGATGAGGAGTAGACGTCCTTCACGCCCGAGAATCCACCACTGACCCGGCAGTACTTCTCAATGGCCTGCAGAGGGAGACAAACTCACGTTAATCTGGACACAGGGATATAAAAAACTTACAAGGCTTGGCTTATGCAGCTTACCTGCGCGGCCTCCCAGCCCCAGGCGCGGTATTTGGGGTCGTGGGTGAAGCGCCACATGTACCAGTACGTTTCTATGACCTCTGGACGCAGGATATAATATTTCTCATTCTGTCGCACGGCCACAGCTTCCGCGCCACCTTCGAATTTAAAGGCTTCCGGACCCAACTTCAACACTGACACCAAAATAAACAGAGAGGATGGTAAGGATCATAAGAGGGGTGGTATGATAGGAGTGCGTACCGTATGAGACATGAAGAGTCACAAGAGTAATCAGCAGAGAAGCAGCACACCTACAATGTGCATTCAATATGAAGTACTAACCTGTACCTAACAAAGGGGATACAGTTCATAAAACAGATGCAAATGCACAAATGGCCATACATAGAAGATTACCAATGGCACAGCAGGCCCAATGTTTCGGAATCACGTGCTCCTTTCTCAAGTGACCCCGGAAACATTTGGGTAAAAGACACCCCGTCCCACTTTCCCCATTCAGAGCCAATCACCTGTTCTGTCATATGACTCGTGACACGTGTGAGCGATCTCCGCCCCCAGCTGAAGGTAGTGTCCGGCCTTGTCCTCCGGCGACCCGTCTGCACCCAGTGCGAACATGCCGCCCGCGAAACAGGTCAGGTGACCCATCTTCCTTTCCAGGTGACCGTTCTTCCACTCGCCTATGAAGGTCAGTCCGCCATTCGACTTGCGGACGAGATGCTTCTCGATAGCCTACGGCAGAGAGGAGCGGGTGCAGAATAAGCGGTCATAATTCTCATCAGAGGATGGACGGCTCCAAGAAACAACAGACTGCATAAGAATAGCAACAATTAAGGCTCACTCAGATGGGCGTACACGCATGTAAAATGACCCGGGAAGGGACAGGTGCTGCATGTAATTGCACACAGCAGCCTGTTCTTCTCTATGGAAGGATGCGGCTACATGTAATTACATGTGGCAACTCGCACACCCGAACCTACACATGGGTAAGGGTGCCGCAGAAAATGTGCATCCAAGTGCGACCACTCGGTCCCACACGGATGTGCATGTGACTGCATGTAAATGCCTGCAGCCTCATCCTCCCATAGGGAAGGCAAGGCTCATGCGAGCAATTACATGCAGTACTTGTCCCTTCCAGGATCGGGTCACTTTACAGGCGTGCACGCTGTACAGACCATGCATGCCCATCTGAATGAATCCTTAAGGTGGCCATACACTGTACAACCATCGCAAGATCTTAGTCTTGCGATGGTTGTAAAGTGATTAAAAAAACGTACGCTCTGCCCATCTTGGACAGGCAGATCGTACTCTCGATCATCGCAAGCCGGCCCCCCTGAGGGGCGGGCTTCCGATGACCGCAATGCTGAACGGGCAGTGTGCGCGTGCGCACACCGGCCCGTTCGGCATTTGTCTCCCGAGCATCATTCAAACCAGCCGAAAATCGTACGATTTTCGGTTGGTTTCCTAGCGCGCTCTTTAGACAAAAGACGTGCGACCGTACAGTAGTTCACACTGCTCGATTCTCGTACGGTCGCTGGATTTCCCGCCATTCTCGTACGAGAATCGAGCAGTGTATGGGCACCTTTACAAAGCTACTCTCTGAACTTCAAAATATTCAGCTAACAGCACAAGGCACACAATGGTGTTCTCTTCCCTCCCAGCCCAACCCCGGTATATGTATAATGGAATATTACTTACTTCGATGGCATTGTCATACATGCTGCGCGCGTCCGTGTCCGTCTTGTCAGACACCAGCCAGGCCTTCAGGAGATACTCATAAAAGCTGTCTCCCAATCCGCCAACAGAGGTGTGGTCTGCAGGGGCAAAAAGGGACAAAAGTCAGTTTTCAATACCTCCTGGGACGTTGCACTGCACATCACAGTCTCCCGTGCAAGCTCTATTATATTTTTGCAAGTTTTTAAAATTGATTCAGTCGCTAAATAAAAGCATCAAAAAGGGGTCCGTGTAAAGGCGACTTAACTTTCCTGCTGCACCACCAATCTTCACTCTTAAAGATGAACTCCAGCATAAGAATAGTTTACAATGTTCCCTCCCGCTTTAGCAGCAACCCTATGGAGACTGGCACATGGCCAGTGTCCATTGAATCCTATGGTGCAGTGCACAACCGGTGGCCCAGCATAATGGAGAGCAGAGGTGGTGGCTGGTCTTGTGAAATGGAAGCGCAGGCCAGGGGCCTATCCCACCTCAACCTAAACACTGAACCATCACATTCTCAAACAACTCATCCCCACACAGCTACCCCCTCGTGTATCACTTCCCCCTCCTCTTTTAGATTGTAAGCCCTCAGGGGCAGGGCCCACCTTACCATCTTGTCTTGAATTGTATTGTTATTGTAATGTCTTTCTTATATTGCAAAGCGCTGCGCAAACTGTTGGTGCTATATAAATGCTATGTAATAATTATTATTATTTGGGCAATTTGATGCTGATTGTTAGACACAGGAGGCCCTGGGGACAAATGCAGAACATGTTTCAGGTAAGTCACAGGATGGCTTTTGCCAGCTTACCGTTACTGCTTGCATGAAGGTCAGTTTTAGCCCTCATTCACACAGGAATCGGCCCGCACCTACAGCTCCGTGCTGCGCGCGGTGCCGTACCGAGCAGCTCCCGGGAAGGACAGGTGCTGCATGTGATTAGTACGCAGCCCCCGCCCTCCTCTATGGGAGTACGCGGCCGTACGCCCCCCTACGCTCACCCGCCCTGCACGTCCGCGCAGGTGAGAAAACTAGGAACGCTGACAGGATGGATCCCGTCTGCGTCCGAGCGAGGAAACACGCACCCCTACGGATCTGCACTTGTGGTGAGCGTAGGGGGGGCGTACAGCCGCGTAGTCCCATAAAGAAGGACAGGGGGCTGCGTAGTAATCACACGCAACATCTGTCCTTCCCGGGAGCTGCTTGATACGGCCGCGCACGCAGCTGTATGTGCCGGCCGATTACAGTGTGAATGAGGCCTTAAAGGCTGCAGAAGATTCTTCAGTATCCGATACTTCTACTTCTTCACTGAGCACGTCCTGAGATGTAGCTCTCTGAAAACTGAAGGGAGCACAGCGCTATTGTTAGCTCAATGCACCCGGCCCCCGGACACCCTAGACCCGCTCCCAGCCTGTGACTGGATAGTGAAGGAGAAGCAGCACAGTGATAAGCTCATCTCTCTGCTTTCTCTTCCTATCAGAATGCTCTTTCATGACCTGTTGGTTCCTCGTGCTGCTTCTTCCTCTCATGCTCCAGCTCTACTGTACAGGATTGGTATTAGTCTATCATCCATGACCATGTACCCCACAATGACATGTATATAACCATTGCAAATTTACTTTGGGCGCTCACCATTTACAGCACAATAACAGCAGCTTGACTGCTTTGTCTCATGCTCATTGAACAGCATTTGTGACTTGATGTTTAAGTCCAGCATTTACTGCAGCTTGACTGCTTGATCCAGCATGGATTATACTGAGACTGGACTGCTTTATCCAGCATGGATTATACTGAGACTGGACTGCTTGATCCAGCATGGATTATACTGAGACTGTGACTGCTTGATCCAGCATGGATTATACTGAGACCGTGACTGCTTGATACTTGATCCAGCGATCATTACACAGCGTTTGCGGCTTGACTGTTCTCTGTCATAATGGTAATATGGAACCAAGCTTACCTAGCACCAGCGGAAGGAGGAGTGATTTGGAGGAGGGACATGCAAAGGAGCCGATGAGACCCAGGAATCGTTCCCACCAGCTGACGAGAGGGCTCTGCCTGTAGCACAACCAGGCCCGGGGGAAAGCGTTGTCAGCACTCAAGCTTCACACTGGAATCTGATGCTTTAGGATAAATCTGCGAGTGTTTCAATTGAATTGTATGCTGGAATAATAAATTGACATCCCTAGACCCAGTGGTGTAACATGGGGGGGGGGGGATTTGTAGTCCTCTATAGCTGATGGCATTATTCTGCATTGCTGTATAATGTATTGCTGGGATTTGTAGTCCTCTATAGCCGGTTGCCATTCTGCGTTGCTGTATAATGTATTGCTGGGATTTGTAGTCCACTAAAGCTGGTGCCATTCTGCATTGCTGTATAATATATTGCTGGGATTTATAATCCTCTATTGGGGTGCAGGTAGGGATGCACCGATACTCAGGGAGTGCTAATGATCCACAGCGTAGGGGGCTGCAATACTTCCCTTGACCTGGGCACCGACAACCCATGCTACGCCTGGACCCATAAGAACGGGCCACTCGTTTATACTATATGAACGGTGCAATAAAGTTTAATAGAGAACTTAGAATTATGACGAAAAGGGGAAAGGTCTGTACGGCTTTGGGAAAACGTAGACACTTTCCAGTAGGTTTTATTATTTGTAATAAAAAGATGTTTTTATTTTTGGGAAAATGTGGCTGGCAGTGAATAAATAACGAGTAATCATTGTATTGTTTGAATGCATGCTGTGATGCAGCAGTTGTTAGGAGGTAACAGAGGATATTCTATGAAGTAGAAACAGGAAAACAACCTTAGCAGGGACACTTGAATGTGATGTGTTTGTGCAAATGTTAATATAACATTTCTATTTCGTTACCAATGTCACACACTGGGACAAATGGCAAGAGACATATGTAAGCGTTTCAGCTTTAAGAACATGCAGCAGGTGATGTAGATCTCCTATGGGACATAGACATAGAGAGAGACAATGGCACTTACGTTGCCCCCATCGCCCGGTCCTGGGGTTTAAGTAGTTTGGGTAAAGTCCGTTAGGACGGTCCATCTTCTGCAGGAGTTTTCTGATGTGCATGACCTGTAGAAAGGCAGAGAGATTCACTCCATGACACGGCTGCTCTATCATCCTTTTACTTTACTCGCACCTATAGATATACACTATATTGCTAAAAGTATTGGGACGCCCGTCCAAATCATTGGATTCAGGTGTTCCAATCCCCTCCATGGCCACGGGTGTATAGAATCACGCACCTCGGCATGCAGACGCTTCTACAGACATTGGTGATAGAATGTGTCGCTGTCATGAGCTCAGTGACTACAATCGTGGTACCGTGATAGGTTGTCACCTGTGCAATAAGTCCATTCGTGACATTTCCTGGCCACTAAATATTCCGCGGTCACCTGTTACTGGGATTATAACAAAGTGGAAGCAACTGGGAACAACAGCAACTCAGCCAGGAAGTGGTCGGCCACTTCACATGACAGAGCGGGGTAGGCGCATGCTGAAAATGCCTGGCTGCATTGTGCCAAGTGTAAAGTTTGGGAGAGGGGGGATTATGGGGGGGGGTTGTTTTTAAGGGGTTGGGCTTGGCCCCTTAAAAGTAAGGCTCCAGCTGCGACTTTTTTTTTTTGATGGCCGGTATTACATTGGTGATCCGGCTCCCTGAATTTTGACCTGCTCTGAGTGAATACAGGAAAGACCCACCTTGTTGTAGTACACAGTGTTCCCTGTTAGATAAGTGAGGTGTACAAACTCCAGATGGAGAGTCCCGAATTCCGCCAGGATACTGCTGCCAGCCGATGCCCATCCCCAGTTCCTGCCGACACCACTAGAGGGAACGAAGGGCCACAGTGAGACTTTATACATCAATAAATTCCCGGGACAAGTAATCAAACAACAAATTCACAATGACAAAGAGGTATGTATTGGAGACTTTCCTTTCTACCAGTGTTGGTAAGTCACTGCCAAGAACCCCTAATGAAACTTACCTCTTCAGATTGACCATGGCCCAGGGGATTCCTGTTGGTGTGTTGAAAGCCGGCAGCAGCTTCTCGGCCAGCATGACGGCCTTGGTTTTAAAGACCTGGAAGACAACAGAGAGGGACGGAATCAGTGCGCGCATACACCCAATGTAAACCCGATCACTAAAACCTCATAAAATATCCAACATGTCATTTCAATAAATTATATATTTGTACTTACATTAAAAGTCCATCGAGGAACACAGGAATTTAGGGTATTGTGAGACATGTTAGACAATGCCCAAAAACAGTTCCATTGAGGGGGTTGGCAACGGGTACTGAGCTCTGCCATACATGTGAAAATGAAGCTACAAGAAGCATCTGAAGTGATAAACATCTGAATTATAACTGGATAAAACCTTGAAAATCTGCCACGACCCCTAAGGTAATAAAACACAGAGGACCAACCTAGTGCCCCAAACCAGTATGTGAAAAACTGCCACCCTGAACAATAACGGGCCTTGTACATTGTGAAAGGAGATGGGATGAACCACAACACCTATAAACAGGAAGCGGCAGGCCGCGGGGAAACGTATAACAATACGCAACTGGCGTACATGGACATCAGGACACAAGGCACGAGAAGACACCTCTCACACGACACATGAAGGTGATGCAAGGTTGTAATATCCGCAAGAGAACCGGCCTAAAAAATTCCACAAATAAGAATCAGAATCCTCTGCTGGGGTTAAGTGTAACAAATGGGTACGAGCCTGGAGTTCAGTTTTAACCCCTTGCTGACCGTGTTAGACCCCCTTCCTGCCCCGCCCATTTTTCAGTATTCGGCGCTGCGGTACTTTGACTGACGTTTATTCCGTCACACAACGCTGCACTGAAATTAATTTGATACCATTTTTTGGGGACAGATAGAGATTTATTTTGGTGGTATTTCATCACCATTAAAATTTTGAAAAGAAAAAGTATTTTTTTTACATTATGCTATAAAACCATTATTACCCATTTTTTTCACGTCGGGTAAATAGACACCAAACGTGTCAAGCTTTAAAATTGCGCGCGCCTGTGACCATGCAAAAAAACGACAATACCCAAAATTGGCCATAGGCGGCGCTTTAAAAGCTTTTAACGCTCATCAGTTTAGTGTTATCAGTGATTGATGGGCCTAAAATGATTGCTCTCACTGCGACGTTCGCGGCGATATGTAACGTGCGGCGTGATTGGCGCAATCATCGTTTTTCGCACGTATGCGCACCAGACGCATGTTTGCACAAGTGTATGTATGGGTGGGGACTTTTGTGACTTTATTTATTTTGCAACTTTCATTTTTATTTCCTATTAACTTTATTGCCATCACATAGGGGGCTAAGAAACCCCCTATGTGATAGCAAAGAGGATGTGACAGGTACTCTTTATGGAGACATCAGGGGTCTCCAAGACCCCTAATGTCACCTAGGGACCTCCAAAAAAGCTGGCCAGGGGAGAGAGGGCGAGGAGAGCCGGCCAGGGGAGAGAGGGCGAGGAGAGCCGGCCAGGGGAGAGAGGGCGAGGAGAGCCGGCCAGGGGAGAGCCGGCCAGGGGAGAGCCGGCCAGGGGAGAGCCGGCCAGGGGAGAGCCGGCCAGGGGAGAGCCGGCCAGGGGAGAGCCGGCCAGGGGAGAGAGGGCCAGGGGAGAGAGGGCCAGGGGAGAGAGGGTGAGAAGAGAGAGAGCGAGGAGAGAGAGGGTGAGGAGAGAGAGGGCCAGGGGAGAGGGGGCGAGGGGAGAGGGGGCAGGGAG